TATTTCTTGTACGAGTATAGTATATAGGACATGATGTTATAAATAACGAGAAATCTATGTTTAATATCTACCTATAAGTAGATATTTAATAAACGTATTGTAAGTGCTACGTCATTAACGTTAACTCATTAACATTCATTTTTATCACGACCGATTTGAAAAATTTATTTCATATTTCATTACAAATTTCATTGAAAATTTGTCTATTCAAAATGTTATTACTTTTTAAACAATTATAATATAATCATTATATTGTGTGTTTTATTTATTATTCAAACCTCAATGAAATTCATTGTTATTTGTATTTAATTTAAAAAAATATGATCCTTTGATATACGGTTACAATAATAATAGGTATATCTGTATAAGTTTTAATAAGGTAGTAATAGGAAAGAAATATGATAATAAATTTTTCTTTTATATTTTTTTTTTTTTATACAAGAAGTAATGCGAATGATATTGTACGATTAAATAAATTATTTAAGATTATAAAATAATCATTTTTTTGGATAATATTTTGCGCAAATATTATGTTACATAGCATGTTTTACATATATACATAATAATATAATAATAATAAGAAATATTTTCACGAACAAAAGAGGAATGATAAGGAGAATGAGATAGAAAGAAAATAAAAAGAGAGAAATGCAATGCGAAGTTTGCGTCCGTCTCTCGTTATCCATTTGTGTTAACCTTGAAAATGTTCGCGAAGCGTTTCTGATCAGCGGACGTGCTCGTCGTGTCGCATAATTAGAATATCAATTAATAATCCGGATTAATTGAGCTCTTCATTATCCATGCATACCAAAGTGATATCCAGAAGCTCGCTGCACGCTTTCATTATTCTCCCTAACGCGTGGCGTTTCAAAGTGCAGAAAAAAAAAAAAATGACAGAGATGAACTACTATGTTAACGATATCCGGCTCGAGACGATTAAGGATAACGCAGAAATTATGATAAACGTAATTACGATTATCGAATTTTCTTTCTGATTTATTTATTTTGATTAATTCAATAATTTTTTTTAAAATGTGGAATTGAATTTGACATACAAGTAAGTTTGATTTGTTTTGTTAATCGTAAAAAAGTATATGTATTTTGATTATTTATGCATCATTATAAATTTAGTATGCAGAGTATTTTTTGATAATATCATTTTATCGAATAATATACGATTAAAATTTTGCATTATTAATTTTGTCCATATAGTATTTAGATTGAAACGTTTTAAATCTAAACACAAAAGAAACTTTTATCCTTCCTCTATAATTAATATCTAAAAGGATTAACATAAAAGGACAATGATCGTACGATAATATAACATTCTCGAAAGTTGAAATCGTAACTTTCATGGAACTTCGATGGAAAGGAATTCAGGAAGATTCATCGTTCTCATACGTATATAACCTCGGTGTACAATTTTCCAAGAGATCGGTGAAAAGATCGTTTCGAGCGGCATGGCATCTTAAAGAAGGTATCATTCATCGATACGGAACCAATTACAGGCAATACCCATCTCCGTAAGATCGGCCAAGATCGAAATTAAAGTCGGTTTTAAGAAAATAGAGGAAATAAAACTAAGAGAAATGGAAGAAACGAAAAAAGGAAGGAAAACATAACGAGAAACAAAAACAAACAAAAATAAAATAAAGAAGAAGAAGAAGAGGGAGAAGAAAAATCTTGGTCCAGCACATGTGATGGTTGGTAAAGGATCCTGAAAAGATGTCGGCTATCTATCTGGGCTCGCAAGATTGCGAGTTGGAAGTGCTCACGCGCACTGTGTGTCTGTCGATCGTTTGGACGAGATAACGAGTACGTAGGTACGTTACATAGTAAGAAAGAAAGAAAAAGAAAAAGAAAAAGAAAAAAAAGAGAAAGAGAAAGAGAAAGAGAGAGACTTTGCGAGTTAACCGGCGTTACTTCGGACTTTTAGTTGAACAGGGTAACAGCCTGGCTTAAGCACCAACAGAGCTTACCTGCCTTCCTCGGTGAGTTTGCGCGGAGCCACGTAATTGAGGCTGTTTCTGGAACGCGCTTAAGTGACAGGTGAACACCTTATATGCGAGTCACATCGCCAGTGACAGTCGTATGCGCCTTTCTAAAAACATATATATATATATATATATATATATACGTATACTAGTAGACGGTCAGATAGGACAGCAGAGACAAACGTAGGACGAACTCTTCTTCTTCTTATTTTTTTCTTCTTCTTATTTTAATAGTCCCTTCGTTTTCTTTATCTTATTATTCTTTTTCCACCATCATAACTTCTATTTATTCTTCTACCATAACTTTGTTGTGCATTTTATTTAGTTACGCACGGGTGCGCGCGTATTCATTTTTATTTTCATTAATATCCCTGTTTTTGTTTTTCTTTTCTTCTATCTCGACATTTAATCTGTGCAACGCGTGTTCTTGTCTCTCGTACGAAGTATAGTTTCTTTTCTTTTTTTTTTTCTTCATACGGATGTTTCTCTGTTAAGTTTACTCAAATATTTTGGGGGGGGGGCGATTAATTATATATTTGAAAAATACTTGTTTCAAATAATAATAATATAAAATCAATTATAACGTAACGTTAAATTTAAATTACGTACTCTCGAAGAGAAAAATAATTCTACAATACATAATTCGTGAGAATCCAAAAGATTACTTTTTCCCGAGTCATTTTATATTCCTGATGGATGATATTAGAGTAGTTTGAACAATGTTAAAATTGATGGAATCTGAGAAAGTCGATGGAAAGAAGTAGGTATAAATAGAGGATAAGGAAAGGGATGAGCAAAGTGTGGCGGTGGTGGTGGTGGTGGGAAGTGAGGGAGGGAGGGTTGAAACTAAGCGTAAATCCGAAATCCAATGGGGTGGGTGGGGTGAGTACTTTAGTAAGTTAGGGGAAAGAAAGGAGGGTGGTGGGAGGGAAGAAGAGGAATAGAGAGAGAGTTGTCTACATTCTGGGAGATGGTCCGGAACTTTGTGGAAGGGGATGCTCGTATTCGTATTCGCGTGCGTGAAAGATCTACCAATCGGATCGCAGGTCCACGTTCGTTGCCGTGGTAACCAACGGTAGAAAGAGCAAGTGAGATAGATAGAGGAAGAGAGATAGAAAGTGGGAAGGAACGTGCGATAGGGGTAACTCGATTAAGCTTGGAACGACGTTCCCAAAGGGAATGGCTACGTGAAGGAAAGAGGAAGCTTGAGAGAGAGAGAGAGAGAGAAGAGAAACTTCATCGTGCTTGCTAGAAGGGGTTGCTCTCTATTTGCCCTCTTAATCACCCGTTAAGTGCCACGACCCCAAAGAGCCTCCCTTCGGGCATAAAACTTGTGATTCGTTGAGTGCTGCTTTCGGACATTGCTGAATCGTACGACCTCAACGTTACTCTTATCTAACGGATTTCTAAGAATTCGTTGTTTAAAAAAAAAAACTAAAAAAATCGAGTAGGTTAATATATCGACGCGATTGATATATTATTTTATTGGATTTTAATATTTTAGATAATATATTTGTTTATATTTTGAGACAATAAAATCCGCGATATTATTATATTCATTGGTGAACGTGGATAGAAAATATTTTGTAAACAGTTAAATCCTCTGAGAAATAGAGAGAGAGAGAGAGAGAGATTTCGGTTTATATATAATACCATTCTGATTTTGATCCGAAATGCTTGGTTTAATCTGGGTCTCGTCAAAACTACGTTACGTTGGACGTGAGACGAGATTCGGTAGACCATTTATTTTGTCTCTCTCTCTCTCTCTCTCTCTCTCTCTTTTATCATTCTTTTTCTTCTCTTGGAACTCGAGTACAATGTCGATTTTCCAGCTTGATAACTTCAAAATGGCACTCTATCTGCAGCCCTTTCTTTCGGCATGAAATATGACGATCGTGCAGTCAATTCAAGGACAATAGTGTCCTCTGCCTTTCTCGTTCCATAAAAGGGAGCATGTGTACGAGAGTTACCCTTTCTTTTTCTTTCTTTTTTTTATTCTATCTCTTTCTATCTCTTTCTCTCTCTCTCTCTTATTTGACGATCGAAGGGGTTCCGTGTCAGCACACGAGCTATTGTAACCGGATAACTGCGTTTAGGGGTGGCTGTTTGATACATCGGCTCGTCCCTACTACTAAGAGGTATAGGGGTTGGTTCCATAACTAGTTGCCACTTAATTTGCCAAACCACGGGGCTACGATCCCGAGGGTGGAACGTTTCGTGTCCCCTTTTCAAGCGGATTGGTCCAATGAGCTTGATCGTCTGTATCGTTGACTGTCCGTCGGCTTAACGACGGTCGAATGATAGGGTAACACAACTGTAAAAGAATATATATATATATAGAAGATTTACACACGAAATTGCGTACGAGTGAATTCATGAAAATTAGGGTATACTATTATTCGTATCGGTTGTTTTATCACGTCGTCGACAAATGTTGCGCGATATTTATATAGGCTTTTAAAATTGATTATTAATCATCGGTGAGAGAGAGAGAGAGAGAGAGAGAATATTCTCGATAAATAGGTGTGAACTCTATGGGAAAATAATTTTGCAGCGATTTTATTATATATCATGCGTAGAGAATACTTTCTTAATGCGTGATAATGTAATTAAAATGTTATCGTTTGAAATTTAATTGATATTTTGTAATGTGTCGATTATTTTTTTAGTTTTTTTTTCTTATTTCTTTTATTAACATATTAAATCGTAATAATAATCCCACACTCTGTTCATTATTATAAATATTATCTTGAAAATTATGAACATATCTCTCGTGCAGTATTTCGATGACCTTTCAATATTTCTTTTCAATATTTGCTAGAATATATTGGTATTTTTTTTTTTAAACTAAATTATATTACCACAGAATCCTCGTGTGTTATTCGAAAAGTGAGAAAAGGTTATGGCCTTTCGTAGGACATAAAAAAAATATTGGAATAAATTGAATCGTACGATAAATGAATAAAATGAAAATCAAAAACACAAATGTTTCGTTATTTGTTACAGGTGAAGGTGTGGTTCCAAAATCGGCGGACGAAGCATAAGAGAATGCAACAAGAAGAGGAGGCAAAAGCTCAACAACAATCTGGGGGCGGTGGGGGCGGGGGCGGNGGGGGCGGGGGCGGGGGTGGTAATGGTGGTAACGCGAATAACAATAGTAATAATAAAAACACTCATCACGTTAGCAAATGGCAACAAGAGACGGGCGATTATCATCACGAGGACGAAGAGGAAGAAGAACAAATTGATCCCGAAGCTGAAGAATGTTCCAGCGATTCTGAAGCGTAGCTAGACGTTTTGTGCCTGGATTAAAGTTTCCAGGAGGAAGACATTTTCTATCGTTAGAACAAAAAAAAAAGAACAGAGAGAGAGAGAGAGAGAGAGAGAGAGAGAGAGAGATGTTCTTTACGAACGTATCCTCGAATAACATTTTTTCGTTGAGAACGAATTCTTCATGAAGGAGAATATGGTTGTTCGTTGATTCAACGTAAAAGTGATGATGATAATGATGATGATGATGATAAACGGTCTGAAAAATGTTCGCGATGTCTCATCAATGAAAATCGTTTAATCGATTTAATTTGGATTTTTATCGAGAGAGAAAAATATTAATAAAAGATTAATAAGAAGAAGAAGAAGAAGAAGAAAAAGAAGATAAATCGGACGTTTACGATCGTTTTATTACGTAGAGGAGTACAAAGAGTACAGAGGAGGAATAATATTATACTAGACTTCACGTCTCGTTAGTTGAAAAAATACGAGAAAGGATAGAAAAGAAGAATAAGAAGAAGAAAAAGAAGAGGGTGGAAAATAGAGCCGGGTCGGAAGTCAACTAATGGAGGTATTGTTTCGCGATGGTCTCGGCAAGGTTAAATGGAGATACTTCCGCCGGAAGAAAACAGACTAGACGAACGGAACGAGAGAATCACGAGATATCGACGAACATCTTCTGTCCGTTAAAGAGAAAAAAAAAAGAAATCTTGTTTTTTTTTCTAAACGGACTGTTGAGGAATAATCGATTATAGGATTTTTCTCATTATCGTTCATACCATTATTATTTTGTCGATTTTATTCTAATCATTTTTCTTTTTTTTTTTCGTTTTTGTTCCATTCAAACGAGATTTTAAAGTGAGAACACGAAAATATAATAAAGTAAACGAGTTTACGTTAAATTTTGACAAATATTTTGCTAACATACGGACTATTTCTACACGTAATAAGAGTTTTTCATTAAATATCAAGATGATTAATAATAATCTTTGGTGATCATCAGCAGGAACTCCCAGCAAAGCCCCCCCAAACCCACCCCCTACTGTCGTCTTGCCATAATTAATTCGCCATAGTGACGAGACGAGACGAGACGAGACGAGATTAAACGTCGAAAGTGAGTGTAAATAAGAAAGGTGTAAAAAACGATTCCTCGATGATAATGATCGATCTCGTCCGATCGATTAAAATTATATGTATATACATATATATACATATATATATATATATATATATATATATATATATATGTATATATAGACAAATACAAGGACGATAAAGCTAGTGCCAAACGTCATAGTACTTAAGAAGAGAGTGAGAGAGAGTGTGAGAGAGAGTGAGAGAGAGAGAGAGAGAGAGACAGTGTAAACTAGAAACTGAAAAAAAAAGAAAAAAAAAAAATTAAGAAATACACGGAAGACGTATTACAAAAGTAGTATCTTTGATCGTTGTTCTACGAACGTGCAGTATTCCTTTCGTCAATCGATGTATCGAAATATACCGGCGACTTAAATTATTATGGACGATACTTATAATAACGATATTTTGCATCACGACTCTCGGCTTTTATTTTATTTTTAATTATCTCATTCAAATTAATAATGATGATGAAGAAGAAGAAGAAGAAGAAGAAGAAGAATCTTATAACGAGAATCGAAGTATCTCTCTTAATATTTAACTTTTAAGTAAAGTTTTATATATTCAGAGTTTTTAATAATCAATTTATAATAAAACAGAAAGAAAGGAGAAAAAGTGGAAATGATAAGAATTATTTGAATCGTAAGGAAAATTCGAATGCAAATAATTAAATCATTTCTTTTAAACAAGAAATAAATTGGAAACGTAAATGAACGAAGAAAAATAAAAAAGGAGAGCTTATTTATAATGACTCGAGAAGAAAGGGAAGGAAATGGAAATGATGAAGAAGAAGAAAAAGAAAAAAAAAAAAAAAATAACAAGGAAAAAAAAAAAGACCAAAGAAAATTAACAATTCGCGTTTTATTTGATATTTTCTCGCCGAGAGTCGCGTTGCAAAATACGTACACATATTAAGTGTAAATAATCTTGTAAATAAGAAATTGTGATTTTATTTGTCGTACGAAGACATCATAGAATTGTACGATCGTCCAGAAGATTCAGTTCGAGCTTCCAAACGATATAGCGAAATAAATTATATCAAAGTAATTCACGATAACGATATACATTGTCGTTTTATTTCTCCTAAGAACGACGAGATAAAAATAAAATCTTTATTAATTACACACATTCATACATACATACATACATACATACATACAATACAATACATATACATGCATGCATATAAATTAGTTTATATTTCATCATTTTTATAATACAATAACGAACGTTATAGGAAAACGTTTCGAAAATCGTGCCAATAAGATTGATACCGCGATAAATAAATCTCTATAAACACTATTCTACGAGATATATATATATAATATAACTTCCAACGAGATTTATTTCAGAATATCTATGAGAAAGTAAAATGTTTTAGAACGGAATTGGTAATATAACGTTGAAACAATGCACAGACTCGATTCTACGCGATAGAAGGTAAAGAAGAAGAAGAAGAAGAAGAAGAAGTATCTCGACTTTAAGTAATTGGGCCTCTTCGTGGTTTCGTTCGAACGGTATATTCATCGTAAGATCGATAAATCCTCTTTCTCGACGTAAAACATCTTGCTCTCGACGCGAACGCGATTACGATCTTTCTCTTTGGCCCCCCCCTCTCATCCCCGCATTCTCCTTCTTCCCCCATGGGTCCTCTCACCCTCGTCTCTCGTTCCCACCCCTCACCCCACCACCCCCTTCTCCGTAGTAGCATTGCTCCTTGTGGAGCAATTTTGCGATGATGAAAACGGTGCTTTTAAACTCATGATATTAATGCAATGATCATCCTTGATTACCGCTTTATAACTATGCAACGTGTCCGACAAATTGCCAACGCGAAAATGATCGTGTATGCCCTCTCTCCTTTTCGGAAGTTCTTTCTACGCGAAGATAAGGAACGATTCTTCCACGTAATCGCTTTATAATCGCCGCTTCCAAAATGAATAATTATGGCACATGGAAGTTCTCCACCGTAATTAAGCGTTCGTGTGCATATAACGGAGAAGGAGAAGGAGAAAGAGGAGGTTGAGGTGGTGGAGAAGAAGAAGGGGGGGGGTGGGAGAGGTTCTCGCGTATATGCATGCGTGGTTTTTAAACCGAGAGGATGTATTATTCTTTCGTAAAGATTTTCAAGGAAACGATGTGATTTTTATCGTATTTTAATTTCACATACAAAGGAAAAGGGAAGAAAGAGGGAATGATAGAGAGGGTGAGGGTGAGAGAGAGAGAGAGAGATAATAGTAAGTTCTCTTCTTAATATCGTGTAATCATTATTTCGAGTAGATATCCTGTCTATAATACGTCACATTTTCGAACATTTACATAAAGAAAACTCGTGTAATAAGTCCGGTATAGCGAAATCGTTTCGTTCGGAATTCAATGTTTCTTCGTGGATGTTGAATATACGTGTAAGAGTAAGAGTAAGAGAGAAATAAAAAGAAAAATAAGAGAATCCGACTAGTAAGAGGCACGCGATGTATTTTGGGACCGACCTTTTCTCTCTCGGCGCATAATTATTCAAAAACGAACAACGCGGTCGGGGGGTAGGGGAGGTGGGGGAGGAACCGGATCGATCGGTAACACCCACGATGGAATTTGAAAAGATCTGGAGAGACGAGATATCGAGAATCATGTGTGACAATGAAAAAAAAAAACAAAACAAAAAAAATGCAGATTAATCCGAATAGCCGAAGTTGATCGTTGATCAAACGTTTGCATTCTCCAACGCGATTGATCTTTAATAATAATAATAATAATAGATAAATTAGGTACAATAAATCTATCTTTTTATTTTCTCTTTTTATCTTGATGGTATTTAAAAAAAAAGAAAGAAAAAAAACAGATAGATCTCAAACTCGTCCGTTCTTTATTTCCAACTTCCGCGATGATCGTTTTCCCAAACGAGAGACTCATTTACATTCGGTAGGCGTGCCACTGTTAATCGCTTATTACTCACTCAACTGGTAATTAGCGCGAGAGAAACGGAGTTATGTTCCAGATTCATTTATCTCGTTCGCCCTCGATCGCCGCTATGTTTTAGAAGATTGTTTCGACGTTCGATCTATAATTATATCGCATTTATCATTCCACCGAGTTTGTTTACCCGTATTACCAGAAAGAACGATGTATATATACATATAAGAGATAAACAATTTAAAATGACGATAGATAGAAAATGATTTTTCGTTTCTATCGATATAATAATCGATTTTGTCAATTAAGTTTAAAGATATTATCTTATTCCGTGTTTCTTATTTTAGTCAAATTTACATATATAATTCGTAAGATAAATCGAATCTCTGTTTAACTAACTATCCGTAGATAAGTTCATTATTTATAAAATCAAACTGGTATTCCCATTCGGATCCTTGTCAAATCATTAATTATATTATCATGTTAGATAAATAATTGTCATTTGGATATAATAAGTAAACGTTGATAAAATTTGTAACTGTTTATCCATAAACGAATAGAGGAGATAACATTTATTTAAAATAAGGGAAAAAATATGTTCAATTGTATGGTCTGATGAAATTCGACATGTTATGAATTTCTACGCCACTGTTTCTTTCGTTCGGGAGCGCACGCTTTGGCTGTTGTTGCTTTGGGTTTCTCTTGGTTCTTCTCCTCTCCACTTGCATTGGTTTTGAAAAAGGTAGGTAAGTGGTATGGCGAGGAAGTCGAATGAGTGGGAAAGATAAAGAGAACGAACGAGTGCGAAAGCAATATAGGGAGAGGGAGAAGGGGTGAGAGAGAGAGAGAGAGAGAGAGAAAGTGGAAATATCTTGGGGGTGGGGGTCGTCCAAGGGCCTGGAGTTCAGAACTGCTAATTATGTAAATTACCAGTGTTGCAAATTACCCTCACAGTTTGCGTTCATTCTACACACAATCCACATGGTCCCTGAACATCTCGCACACCTCGCACGGAATCCATCCACTTTCAGATACTGTTACTTC